AACAGTGGTGGAATATTTTAGAAAAGGCTAGTAATCATGGTGGCACAACATGAAAAAATGTCATCAATGTCCCTGAGCTGTAAATGGGGAAGCAGTTATATTTCAGTGTGTATGTTCTCATCATGACAAAAGATACAAAAAAAAAAAAAAAAGACCGGCCGCAGTTCTGAGGGTCCCTTTGAGCTCTCAGATGCTGGGCAGGGGAGGACCTCTCTTCGGGGTACCTGCCTGCCTCAGGAGGTCCCAAGGATAAGCAGACGGGTGGGGGACAGGGTCAGCCCCGGGACTTCTAGGCCACTGATGGCATGGTTACAGCTGCAGGGCCAGTGTTGCCAGTCACCTGGACATCAGAACATGCCATGTTAACAGGATGCTGGCACCTGGTCATGCTGGGGCAGAGAGGCAGTGCTAAGGGGCTAGGAGGAGTGGGGGTGGAGGAAGGACGGGTTGATGGAGCCCCCAGGCAGCAGCCCCGAGGACAGGGTGCCTGGCATCTGGGACCGTGGGACCCTCTTGGGAGCACTCGGCAATGAAGGGGGCGGTGTGAGCCTGGGCTCCTCACCTAGAGCCGAGGGTAGCAGTGCCTGGGCTAGCAGGAAGGCCTGGGGCAGGCAGCTGCGTTTCCAGGGTGGCTGCTTGGGGCCATGGGGGTGGGTGCATCCCACCAGTGATAAGAGGGCTTGGCCCATAACCCACCAATAGGATCTCACCCACAGTCCCACGCACAAGCCAGGCCTCCCCTCAGCACCAGGGCTGGGAGGATGGTAGACAGGGCTGCACCTGGAGGCCCAGCACCTGCTGGCCACTAATGTCGGGACAACGCTGTCCCGCCACCCGCTCGCCACCCCCAGAGCCCAGGACACGTGTATGGCCAGGGTGGAAGGATCAGCAGCCACTGTGTGGTGAGTGATAGCAAGAAGTGGCCTTATGGCTGCCGTGTACCCAGCCTGCCCTCACCTGCTCACCCTCCGCCTCCCCGCTGTGCCCAGGGAAGGAAGCTCAGTGTTGCTGAGAACACGCCACACGCTGCTAGGCCCTCGGGGGTCGGTGGAGGAGGCCCCTCCCACTCGACCCCAGGGAGGGGGAGGGGGTCAGGACAGCAACCCGCCACCAGGGCACCTGCTGTCCCCATCAGCTGTAGCCGTGTGGCCTCCTCCTGTCGGGTGCCCTGCCCCTCCCCTCCCTTCCTCCGCCTGTCAGGCTGCTGCTCACTGATGGCCGGGCACACATGGGGCTGCAGCTGTGGGGACCCGTCAACGCCAGGCCCCGCTGCAGGGCCGGCCGCCAGCCCCAGGGACAACCAAAGAAGGCGACTGTGGCACCAGAGCCCTGTGGGGAACGAGTGTGGCCGTCCTGACCCACCCTCCCTCTGACCTGCTGCCCTTGGTCAGCTGCCGGGCTGGACGACTGGAGGGGCAGGCAAGACAGCACCAGGCCACAGGCGGGGCCTGACGGTGGGCAGGGGCTGCCCGCTTCTTGCAGGGCCAGGCTGGGATACGGGACACAGGGGTGTCCCAAAGTGCCAATGCCTTTCCTCAGAGCAGGTCCACTTGGGCTTGAAGATGGAGCCAAACAGAAAATCGAGTGTCGAGACACTTAGCTGGGGAGGGACAGGAGCCCCACCAGGGCCAGGCCACCCTGAGCTGGGCCTGCTCTGTGACAAATCTGATGCTGGCAGACCGCCACCAGGGTGTGTGCACACACTCACATGACCAGCACTGCCCGCAGGACAGTGCAGAGGGTGCTATGGCGGGCCAGGAGCATGGACAGACTCGGCTGGCATCCAGGTCCCACAGACCCAGGGCCAAGCCTCGATGCCCTGTGGATGCCAGCAGCGGCTCAGTAAAGCCATCAGCAGCACCCCTGCAGCTGCCTGACAGGCTGCCCTGTCCTCCTGAGGCTGCTGGTGTTACCCTGTCCCTTACAAGGACCTGAGCCCCAGCCTTGGGCTGCTCCAAGTCTGAGGCACAGCAAGGCTCAGACCCTGGGCAGGTGGCCCAGAGGGGACCCTGTGCCTGTAAGTCAGCTGGGACAAGAAGCAGGCCAGGCGGGGGTGTACTGGGGGTTATGGCACCCACCCACTGCCAAGGCCACCAGGCGGTGCCCATGTGGGCGCGTCAGTTGGCACAGCCACCCTGCAAGGCCACATCGCCACCTGGAGAGCTGCCTGGCTTTGGGAGAGGCAGCTGGGGGAGCAGCTCCCCCCCATTCCTGCAGGGTCTCCCTCGTGTCCTCAGCCCCCGCCCGTGCCAGCAGTGGCACCCACAGCATCTCGTCCAATCCTCATGCCTCCCCAGAAGGTGCTGCCACCCACATTTTACAGACGGAAGCCAAGGATTTGAGAAAGGGAGGCACTGCCCCAAGTGGCCGTTTTACCTATGGGAAAACTGAGGCTCAGTAAAGTGTCAACGCTGTTCAGTGCTCTGCCTCCCCGGGCGTGCCGATGGCCGTGAGCTCGCAGAGGGGGACTAGGAGCCCCCAGCTGGGCAGTCGGGGCCCAGAGGCGCCTCTCCTGTGGAACGGGCGGTCTGGGGCGTGCCGGCAGGAGGAGCCGCCGTGGCTGTGGCGGCGATGGGTCTGCTGGCTGCCCCTGGCCTCACCCTGGATGGGGAGTGCAGGGCACGTGCATCTATTTGCATCTATTTGCATGGGAATCCTCCTGCAGACCCTGACATCTGTCCCCGTGCAGTTTCCAAATGCAATGGGCTCATTTTCTCATATGGCTGTGCGTTCACATCCTGGCATCTGAGCCTGGGTACCAGCAGACCTCACGTATTGCACTTTGATTTACTGCATTTCGCAGATACCGCATCTTTACAGACTGAAGGCTTGTGGCAACGCTGCGTCGAGCGAGTCTGTTGGCACCACTTTTCCAGAAGCACGTGCTGAATTCGCATCTCGTGTCCCATTGGGTCACCCTCACAATATCCCAGTGTTTACATCCTGTTGCTGCACATGGAACAGACCGCAGCAGAGTGGAAACAGGACGGCGATATTCTGAGAAGCCAAAAAGATGGCACGGCTCGCTGGATTGCTACACCCGCTTTATTGCGGTGGTCTGGAACTGGACTTGCAATCTCTCTGAGGCATCCCTGTGTCCGGCAGACCCCTCACATGGAGGCCCCGGTCAGGCCCTGAGGGCAGATCCGAGTGCTAGTGTTCTGTGTGGGCAGCAGCCCCAGGGCGGGGTGAGCAGGCACCGTGGTGGGCCGCTGGGTACCCAGGGACGGTGAACACCATCAGTCAGGCAGCTGTGTTCTTCCAAGCCCCCTCCAGGTGTCTGATGTCAGGGCTGCCTGGGCACGAAGGCAGCTCCCATCCACGGCCCTCGCTTGCCTTCTAATGGCCTGTTTCCCTGCCACCATCCTGAGAGCCTGGAGCAGGGCCAGGGTGCTCAGAGGCGAGGGCGTGGACTCCCGGC